GTTAAATTATTGTTTGAGATAAATAACTGTTTTGAGGTGAAATATTGTTTTGCGTTAAAATATTGTTTTGCGTTATGTAATTGTTTTGAGGTTAAATATTGTTTTGAGGTAAAATTTGTTTTGCGTTTAAATATTATCTTGCGTTAATTTATTGTTTTTAGGTAAATTATTGTTTTGAGGTGAAATATTGGTTTGTGTTAAATTATTGTTTTAAGGTATATTATTGTTTTGAGGTAAATTATTGTTCTAAAGAAAATTATTGTTTTGAGGTGAAATATTGTTTTGAGGCGAAATATTGTTTTGCGTTAATTTATTGTTTTGAGGTTAATAATTGTTTTGAGGTGAAATATTGTTTTGCGTTAAAATATATTTTGCGGTATATAATTGTTTTGAGGTAAAATATTGTTTTTAGGTGAAATGTTGTTTTGCGTTAATCTATTATTTTGAGATAAATTATTGTTTTGAGGTGAAATATTGGTTTTAGGTAAATTATTGTTTTGAGGTAAATTATTGTTTTGAGGTAAATTATTGTTTTGAGGTGATATATTGTTTTGCGTTATATAATTGTTTTGAGGTAAAATATTGTTTTGCGAAAATTATTGTTTTGAGGTGATATATTGTTTTGTTTTAAAATATTGTTTTGCGACGAGAGAAAAAAATATAACCATTGTTTGGTAAGAATATCCTTTTAAGCTTTTCTTACTCGTACATATTTTGACCTAAAGATTTATATTTCAGTTTATATATTTTTTCCAAATATTAGAGTTTTCGTATAATCGTTGAATAATGTACCAATCCTCAGATAAAACAGAGTTAAATTTCTTTTATTTGTATTTAATGAGTTACAATGTTTACAGTATAAGTTTAGATGTATCAAGTACTATTGCTAAGGGGTTTTCCTTGAATAAAATCACTTTCTCAGTTTTTGCCACTTACTGAAAATAAATTTCAAACATAAAAGGAAAATAAAATCACAATTTTATTTCAAGCGTTTAAAAGGGAGTACACATAGCAAACTTGTGCTTAAGTCTATCCTATGTAATGTTATCCAAAATATGTTGCACAATTTCATATTAAATACATACAACAATGTGTGCTTTCTTATAAGGTTTTTTACGATTTATTTAACATTGATTGTAAAATAGGTAGAGAGGATGTTTGGTTTTATTCGTGTTATATAGTAGTTTATTACAAAGATACAAGGAACAAGTTTTTTTTTATTGAAATACTATTTATGTACATAATATACAAATTCATTCTATTTCAATGATATCATGATTTTTCTGGTGGTAATAAAAATGCACATGGAGGACTTTTCCATTTACTTATAATGTGTGATATTATACAGTGTGTAAATGAAGTATTGAAACAAATCTGTATTTTAAAACCGAAATAGATAGAAATATTCTGTTTGTGGCAATAATTATTAACAAAGGTTCCGCAATTTTCTACATCAAAAATATTTGTTTACCCCCCTACCAGGGTAAGGGGTAGGGGGTGACTTATTTTTTTAAAATAGCAACCCCTATTGAGTGACCCCTTATTCAAAGTTCAAACGCTAAACCCTATTACAGAATTTGGGTATGCGATAACTAATGTTATTCAAAGACATTCAACCAGATTTGCATTGACACATAATTGGCCGTGGTTTACGATCCAATATCATAAGTTAACCTCTTAAGCCCGGAGTAATTGACGCATTCAATCATTATTGATCCAGCTAGAGCTCCGATATTGCTTCGCGTCCATAATCTTTGACTTAATTGAAAGCGTTACAGAGAATATCTTTGTATAGCTTATTTAATTAACTACGATATAGTTATAACTGATATATTTACGAGTGTAAGTAAAAACGTATGAAAATAAATAAATAAATTAAATTAATCGTAAATTATTTAGTTTTGAGTATTAAATAAATAATGGAAGGCATAATTTTAATAATTATGAGCTACAAAAATCTATACTTAATTAACAATGCTTTTCAACACTACATACAAGATCTAAGCGTATTTTAAGCCACCGGGGTATAGATAAGTTGGGTTTTAAAAACATTCATTGAAGGAAGAAATTTACTACATTTACCACTTAATGTTTTGATAACGTGTGTATCTTGTATATATAGATATTTTAATTCCTCCAAGGCATAATTTCTCGGTTATCTCTGGGTCATAAGTAACTTAAGATTGAGTGTGATAAGCGACTTAAGGCTTCAACGATATTATCTATACTGTAGAACTTAAACAGGATCACTGGACACAACTAAACAAATGAACGTACTATACCCTTTTAAACCCCGCCTAATTAATGTATAGTAAATCATATTTTTAGCTACAGCTTGTTAGCTACAGCGTGTTAAACTTTGAAAAATAAAAAACTAATGACATGATTATAACCACACTGCAAGCTAATTTTTTTAAGTTTAACACACTTCAACTCCTAAACGAGTAGGTTTAGAGAGAAATGTCAAGAGTAAAAAGTCTTAAATTCATATCTAGAATCTAGAACAATCATAAAATACAGGGTGCTCAAAAAGAAATTTTAATGTTGGCCACAATTTTGGAAAATGGCGGTAATTTTTGAAAAATTGGAGTTCATATGTTTTAATATAATTAAAAACTAGTTAAAGTTCCCTATTTAATGTTCTCTCTTAATCTAATAGTTTCTCAGATACCAATGGTGGTACAGTTAAGTTGTTTATCCTGTATAATTATAATATATATTGTTAGAACTGAACGAATGAAAGAATTAAAAGAAATAGGCTACCTTTTAATTCTTTGTTTTGTCCAGGTCCAACATTTATCCCAGGTTAAACACATTCCATTTCCACTCTTACTCCACAAAACCACAAAGCTTCACCTCATTAACTAGAGAGAGATGAGAGCATTTCCATTAGACACTGAAATTCGTTACTCGTCCAAATTTAAAGCTTTGACTGACTTTATTACAGATGTATTGTTTATGGGGATAAATGTTTGCATCATAAGTTTTTACTAACTTAATTTTAGAAATACAAGGTGGTAGACCGTCCTACGTACTGGAATTGAGTAGTTAGTTAATACTGTGCACAATTCAGAACAGCTAGTGTTCAAAAATTATTTCTGTAAATTATACTAATGTTCCTTGGTGAACATTTAACAACACTAAAAACTTTATTTATTACCAAATTGTAATACAAACATATTTCAGTAATTATCTGTTTAAAGACAAAATGAAATAGAATAATTGAACCTTTATGAAATTAAGAATCTCCCAATATATCTGTTACATAAGATACAATTTATAACAAGAACATAAACAAGATTTTATGTTTGTATTGCGTTCTTACAGATTCACGTGCTTATGTCCTTAATCCCTATCCAAATAAAATAAGCTACCTTATATATATAGTCATTTTACATCTAGCCAATCCGGCCTCTTATCACTGTGGATTAGACTGTATTTACACGTAACTATATTATAATTTAGGTTCATTCAATATCCTATTCATACAATAGTGTTCTCTGTAACGCTTTCAATTAAGTCAAAGATTATGAACGCGAAGCAATATCGGAGCTTTAGCTGGATCAGTAATGATTGAATGCGTCAATTACTCTGGGCTTAAGAGGTTAACTTATGATATTGGTTCGTAAACCACGGCCAATTATGTGTCAATGCAAATCTGGTTGAATGTCTTTGAATAACATTAATTATTGCATACCCAAATCCTTTAATAGGGTTTAGCGTTTGAACTTCTAAAGGTTAATTTTGTATTGCGAATGAATCCTGGATGAATTTGATAGACATGTAAAGCAATAAATATCTCGAAAAAACAAATTTTTAGTTTAAGACGTTATATTGACCTGTATAACATATTAATTTGTCATAACATATTTATTATCTGAAAACTGAACATGAATATGTTTTTTGTTAATAGATAGCTGTAGGTTCATGTTACTTATTAAGTAACTTTTTCCTCGTATTGCGCAAAACAAACGTCTTGATAAAATAATGTACTATATAATATCACACATTATAAGTAAATAAACAAATCCTCCAAACGTGGAATTTAATTAACACTGTAACTCATTAAATACAAATAAAATAAATTTAACTCGGTTTTCATCCGAGGGTTGGTACATAAATAAACGATTATACAAAAACTCTAATATTTGTACAAAATATATATTTACTGAAATAAATCTTTTGGTCAAAATATTTACGTTGGAAAAGCTTAAAAGGATATTCTAACCAAACAATTGTTATATTTTTTTCTCTCGTCTCACTTCTACAGATTGCGATTTCAGTCTTGTAACAAATCGCACTCCAGAGGTTTTAACCCCCAGCATGATTCAAGCCAATCAAACTTTATCCATTACTTTCAATGCATTATTATTGCATTTTCTTTCTGTTTTTTTGCTACAAAATTTTGATATAGTTTTAGTATAAGAGTTTATACCTACAAATTACATAATCAGGTACAACCTAATCGGATTGCGAAGTGATCTTTAGGACAATCTGGTACTAAGCCATACACTTGTTGAATCATGAACAAGGATGCTAATTTATATGATATTAAATGAATAATTTACCATTTTTAAACCTATCATGCTTTGTACATAGACACCACCTCAATTTTATAATAGTATATATAAATACACAGAAGATATTGATATTTATGGTATTGATATTATTTATTTATGGTCATATTGAGATTTAATATGCAAATAATTACAACTAAGATTTGGCTTAACTAATTTTTTTACATCATTAGGTACTCTTGCCGTACGATGTAGTATAGCAAAACTATAATGAAAGCAAATGCATACTATACATTTTAATAGTACATATTATTTTCTGTGACTTAGTATGTCAGTAATCTGGTTTCGAATGCTATCCACAGTATTTTCTCAGGTAATTAAGTATGTTGTGCAACTTCTGATATGTAGTTTATTTGTTCCGTCAGAAAATGGTGGTCAAGGAAGAGGGAGAGGGAGAGGCCGCAGAGGAAGGGGAGGAAAAGGGTGAGGACGGGTTCGTGGCCTCGCTCTAAACCAAGTGGAGGAATATGGGCCACTGGTTGAACAGGCACCCGCAGCAGCACAGGTACCCGCAGCTACTTTTGGGACTCTGGGACGCCAAAGAGTCCCAAAAGTCCCCCTTTCTATTAACTCCACTTTAACAATATTTATTTAGTTGATTGAGAAAATAATAATATGTGTTCAACTCTAGTATACGCCCTGATTAAAATAACACAGAGTAAAACATCATGTGATTCTACAGTATATCATGATGTTATTTATTGTCTTTCCTTGGTAATCTACTGGATTTACAAGTATGCAATGAGTAATTCATCAAATTACAGGATTTGCTAAAACATAAATCCAGTTAAATTAAATATTTGTTTGAGATGTTTTAATTAATTTTACTAGTTTATATAATTCACCGAGACACAACCAGACCACTATGTATCAGGTAAGGTAAGATGACAGTTGAGGTAGAAGACGTGAGTGTCAAAGCCTTGACAATTAATTTTCGTCAGAGTAAATCTCTCTTGTCCATTTGTTTCACTTTCGCTCAGAAACATATTCTTTGTTGCCCGTTGTAACACATGTTTGTTATTTTGTCTTTAAAACTTATTTTTATTTTATTTATTTTTAACAGTGTTTGACTATCAAATATATATTCTTAATGCACTGAAGGCTTTTGCTGCTCCTAAATTAATTTTTACTCATTATAAGCGTAGTTATGGTAAAAACCTTTATCGGCTGCTCTCTACAAAAAATAGAATTGAATACTGTAGTAATGAATATCTGGCTAAAATAATGTTTTCAAATTAATTGGTTGTGTGTGTAAATGTCTAGAAAATCTTAAAAAGTCTTAGTAAGAAACAACGGATTGAGACTATAAGAAACTCAGAGATGCTTATTCATAAAAAATATATTGTGGGATGCGATAGGTACCAACAAAAGCAACAAAAATGATTATAGACTATCAACAGAATCATAATAGATATACATAAAGGTTTCAATTGGAGGATAATACATATATTATGTGACTTTTATTTTTATATGTGACTTAACTAATTAGCTAGAAGAAACATACATATCCAACATAGTTAGTCAGTACAATATATACTTTTACACAAAAATTAGTAGGCTATTTGATTAAAACCCAAAAAGCATAAAAGCAAAATAATATTTTATTAATAATTTTCAACTTGGGCTTCCCAATTGTATGGAAGTAGAGTAAATCATATAATCTAAAACAAGCGAGTATACGGACAAACTCTTATTTTCGTCAGAGGATTATAAATTTGTTTGTTTATCGTGGGATATTTGGTCACGAGAAATATATTGCAGTTGGTCACAAGGCTGTGAAAAATCCAGTTTCCACCCTACAGCCCTTGAAAGCGACCATGTTATCGTCAATACCTTTTTGTAGCTGCAGTTAATAAAAACAGGTGATACAGGTTACTCTTAGTGCAATCTATGTACTGTATTAATAAACGTGTATTATCATAATTGCTAAGTCATTTTTCAATGCTCATATATTTTCATATTGAAATGTTTTCTATAGACGCTAAACCTGAAAACCTAATGTTCCTTGAAAGTTGGATGGCGGGTAAACTGACACTAGTTCCACTTAAGTCTTTTAACAATTGTTGTTAGCATTTGAAGAAGAAATAAACATTTTTAGAACGAATTATTAAATATGTACAAAGCTCGTGAATTAAATGAACATATAATTTGTAATCTTATAAAAAAAAATTTCCTGATTTTCAAATAAAGCGTTAAACGAACATTGCTAATTATAGTACAATACAAAATTAAAAACTAAAAAAACCGAAGCTACATAAACAATATCAGATTTGAGGAAAAACCATTTCAATCGGTTTTCATTATTTGTCTCTCCAACAGACTTTCAATTTTATGGAAAGTCTACCGTAAACATTGTCAGCGTTTTTCATTCAACGCAAGCTATCTTGGGAATATACTGCATACGTTAGTTCTTATCTTAAAAATTTTTATTAAATATTGGGAAATGAATATACTAAGATTTTAAGTCATGCATGAACGTACAAGAATGAACGTTTTTGTTTGTTTATCTCAAAAAGTTTATATATACAAATAGAACATTTTACAATTATATATTCGTATTATAAAATGATAAAATTTGACCATTCATATTATATGTCACGATATAATCACGAACACAATACAAACTATACATGAATCACATTTTCCATATGTTTTTCGAGTTTGAAGCAAATCACAACGAGTAAAATGTCGCAGCTGAAACGTTTGTTTGAACTTATTTCTCCCAAGAGAACACTTGTCATTGGTTACTGTACATATATTGTGTAACACTTGGTTTTGTAAAAATACTGTATTACATATACAATATTGTATAAGTATCACTGAACTCTTTACTCTGAACAATCACTTTAAGTCAGCTAAAACAATCAGCTGTTTTAATTGTTAGTTACCCAATGAGCGCAATGTATCTTAAAATAATTTGTCTCCCTTATTTAGAAACCACTTTTCTTACATTTTTTATCATGTTAGAGTTGTAGGAAAATGGTTTAAATGAAACATTGCGACAGCAGTTTAGTTTAGTTTTATTTATTTTGCAGGATGTGTGAGTATTTTTTCAGTTTTCGAAATTTTACTTAATATTTTAATTTGTTTTTGGTCTAGGAATCTTTTGGTCTACTTTAAAAGGACGTTAGAGAGTTCAGAGACACACTGTATTTGAAATTGTTAGATAACATATGGATGACCAGACAAATTATATTAGGTATTAGTTTTAGTGTTATTGTTTCATCAAATAACATTAAAGATTTGGGTTTTGTATAAAATGATTCTTTTTAACTCTTTTCGTTTTGGCCGATATTTTAGTTTACTATTATAGACCATCGCCACCATGGTATTTGGTGATCAAATTTCTGAAATGTTTACTAGCCTAAAACAGTTATTTGTTCTTTTTTTCCTTTCACAGTTTTAAATCCTTGGATATTAGAAATTGGCTATCGTAAGATTATGAGTAAACTACAGCACCTACATATATTTTAGACCAGACATGTAGGATTTAAGAGTAGGTAGCTTAGTATTGGTGGCAGTTTAAGATTTTTATATTTGCCAACAACAACATAAACCATTTTCTGTCAAATTTATGTAAATTCTTATAAAACTATATATTTAATATAACTTATATTTAATTCTACTTTGGCAGTAAAACTAGCCTTCACAATATTTCTGGTATAAAAGGTGAGATAAAAATCCAGAACCTTTTCCGCCAGAAAACAAAAAAAGATAATATATGAAAAATTCAAAAACAAATATACAAAGTACATGTATATTGGAAGCTTAAAACGTTCAATAAAAACTGTCAAAGCACAGCAACATTTCAATATTAAAATAACCCAACATTAGTATGAACCCTACCTACAGCACGTATATTGGATATAAACTTGAATTTGATATAATAATTTAGAGTTGTAAAGTCAGTTTGTGGTTTAAACTCAACTCTACTCTGGTGGGTTGTTACACTTTCACAACAAGTTTAAATGTTTCTGAAAGTTTCTGTGGTTAAGCAATGGCAGCATTCTCCTGGAAATACATGCGGGTGATTGACCAAAGGTTAGTGGTCTTTGAATTCTATATAAAGCCCAGCTTAAAATTGGTTTATGATTTACATAGTTTTCACGCAAAGATCATTTGGTTATAAATACTTTTTAAATCACGCACAATTTTTAAGGGAGTATTTACTAGTGTGGCAGAAAGAACATACGGAAACAAACAAGGTAAAATGAAAGCTGGGAAATACTGACTCAGGGGGACCAAGTAGCTTTTTTACTGGTTATATAAAAAATGTTTCTGCAAAAAATGTAAAATACATTGGTTTTTTCTGTTTATAGGATCCACAAAGGTACTTTAATCAGCAAATCTCAGTTAATCCAAATAATTTTGCTTTACCGATCATATAATTTTAAATTTATTTTGGTCACTGACAAAATCAGTTCAGAACATTCGTATTCAACTTTTTACTTTTCACTTAAGTGATTTTAAATGTCCAATTCGTTGTAACTAATATGCATCGTATAATTTTCCACACTTTGTTTATGTATGAAAATATAGTTCAAACATAACAGCTTCATTAAATTATTTTTTGTTTAATTTATGAAAATATGCTATTACCGTAGGTGTTAAGACCTGGAGCCGGGATCGATACACTTTTTTTCTTTTTGGGAGGACAAAAACATTATTCGTACAAACTTGTATACAAGTATGTACCACTGTTTTCCATCCCCAAAGCCGCAAACCTAAGTACTCGTTAAATGTAATGAGGAATAAATATGAATAGCTTATGAAAATATTTTAGTTAAAATCCAATCAAGCAAATTAAAATGTTCGTAGTCCGCAGGTTTGCTGTGGCGTGGATATTATAAAACTAATATATACTACCACATAACACCATTACATAATACCATAACATAAAACTATTAATGTATGCTTTTGTTCCCACTTATCCAGGAAAACTGCAAATATATTTTATTTACAAACATGTGAACCTTTTCCTCTTAATAACTACAGTATTTTCCTGAAATAAGCTTTGATAATTAAACTGAAATCCAATAAAACCAATATTTCAAAGGGCAATGAAACTGTATGTCCACATATCGTTGTTCGGTTGTTGATATTAATTTTACATAGTTTGTAAACACGGTCATTGCTTTGATCTTCATTCTTTGTACCGACCAATTTTTTAAATCATCTACAATCTATAATATTAAAACGAAACTGTGTTTTTTTATTTCACGATTCTGAATCAACCACTCGACGGATTTTCATGATTTTTGTGCTGAAAGAAAGATAATTTTGAGAACTAGGGAATGTCGAAGCCATAATTTTAGTTTAGGGTCCCAGTTTTTTAGAAATTAGGTTTTAATTTTTAAAAAGTCTAGCAGCCGACGCTAAGATTCTAAACTAGCTTTTGGCATAAAATAAATTGCTTAACATAACAGCTGTAAACATTCAGCTTTTGTGTCACAAATTCAGCATTTGGATAAAAATGTAAAGACATACTTAGGGTTGACTTATTTA